TATCAAATATTTCAGCGGTTTACTACTGAACCACGGTGGCCACAGCTCTATAAAATGGCAATAAATCAGTGTAAGGGGCACTCATAAGCGTATTTATGGCTACTATATTTAGTTCGACCTTAAACAAGACAGAGCTGTCAGGCAACCTGCTTATAATCCGACTATTTGCGATTTAGTCATGACTACGTCTAATAAATTATTAAGAACATAAATACTATGGAATTTATATAATATATATAGAACATATTATATTGTGTATAGGTACATTATAAATTGTTGATAGTCAAGAAATTATCTTCAGCTTGCTAGTGCATTTAAGCTTTTTGATTTCAAGTTAGTAATTTTATAATTCTATATTGTACCTAGTATTATTTTATTAATTTTGTTACATTTCTGCATAAATATGAAAATAGTTATTTAGTGTTACATTTATTAGAAAAAGAATAATAATAAAAAGAATACATATACCAGTATTTAATCCCCAGCTGTGCACCAATTGACTTTCTTTCTATGTGCGCATTTAACATTCGTTCAAACGGTGAAGGAAAACATCGTGCGGAAACCACCTTTTCTAGACCCAAAAAGTCGACGTGTGTCAGGCACAGAAGGCTGTCACATGCCTATTAGATTGAAAAATGATCATGAAACTGATACAGAAATCTGAGGGCCAGACCTAAAAAGGTTGTAGCCACTGGTTTATTTTAAATTTAAATAGAAATAATTTTTTTAATAATTAACTGGCCGTGCTCCTACCAACTAATACATATCTATAGCCTTGATTGAAACATTTTTTGTTACATGAGTAAATGTATTATGTCAACCGTAATAAATCCCCTATATATATTACATAAAATCCATGTAAAGAAAATTCGACTAGCAAAATGTTGTTCAAAGATTCTGGCGCGCGGCCAAACAACAGCCATCTATGTCTCGTTTGTGTATAATGAAGTAATTTCCGTTATTTATTATCTGAAAGTTTGTAAAGGTAACATAAATTTATAAACAAGAGATACACTAACAAAATTCCATAGATGTGGGGAACGTTCAGGCGCCTCTCATTCGAAATCTTCGCGAATACAATAGAATAAACGCAGCGACTTTAGTCGCAGCAACTTATGCTGATCTTGATATATATTCGATAGTGGACAGATCAATGTTAAAAATACAGTGTTCCAACCTTTTTTATGCCAAGCCTTTCTAAACTTCTTATGCCCACTATGTGACATACATAATTTTTAATATTAATAATTTAATTCACTTAAAAAACTTAACTTATAGATTTTAGGAAGAAATTACTAGGAAGTTGTTTAGGAAACACAGTAAGTTAGTATTGTCTTTGATTAACATAACCTTTACACATTTAAAGAAAAAACTTTTTAACCGGATTAAAGTTATGTATTATTATAAATTTACAATTATCACCGTGACCACGCACGCTGTAAAGCACGCGAAACGTCGGATAAATTTTAAATTATGTTAAATAATTGTAAATTTATAATAATACATAACTTTAATCCGGTTAAAAAGTTTTTTCTTTACTCAGTAAGTTTTCAATTCAATAACTGTGGTATTTTACATTTAACAGAACAAATTTTATTTACAGGATTTATATCATTATTCACGAATATGTCACGCCAACCATTGTGAGGGGCTGGCTTTATTGTGATGTGTGTCAAGTTTTGTGTCAATAATCGCCTTGGATGTTTTGCACAGGTTAATTACCAGGGGATAAGAAAAACAAAAGACGCAAGAGGAAACGTTGCGTTCAATTGTTTTATTAAACCGTATCAGATAGCTGTTCTTGATCGATCAGAATTAAACGGGGTGCGCTAACGTCTCTAGTTTTGTGTTCTCAGCGGTTCCAAAGCAAATTAAAAGTACAGTAGAAATGTTACTACTTTAGACAGTTGATAATTCAATAGTATAACATAAAGCGGGAAATCGGTGAGTGACATAATTGTTTATAACAAAACAAAATAAACAATAACGTTAAATCCAATCATGTTTTGCAAATAATCAATGTTGATTGTTTTTAAACATCCGAGTCATCATGTAGAGCGTCATGTTTAGGCAAATGTCTTGGCGGAGGTTCAGGGTTTTGTTTTCGGAAAATAATTATCGGTTCAGTGTGCGCGTCTCAACCTTGAGGCCGTTCACGACTGTGCACTGATCTTGCTATGTGCGGCCTCGCTCGTACGGTGAAGGATAACATCATGAATCGGCGTTAGACCCATAAAAGTCGACAGCGTACAAGCCCGGAAGGCTGATCACTTGCCTATTAAAATGATCAAATCATCACAAAACAGATACAGTAATCGGAGTCCTATATACCCAAAAAGTGGACGTGATAAATCAGCCACGGAAGGCTGAACACTTGCCTATTAGAATGAACAAATGGTCACGGGACAGATACAGAAATCTGGGTCCTAGAACCAAGATATAGAGGTAGCGTTACTGCTTTTTTTATTATTTCCGGTTGACAGTCGTGTAAAGGAAAGAATTATTCACGTTTCATAATAAAGTGTTTTGCCAAATATAAAGATGAAAATATACTTTATGATTGAAGCGCGTGGCAATAAAATTTATTTGCGACCACTCCAAGCAATAACACAGGTGCGCAGCTACAGATATTATATATCTGGACAGAGTAACTCGCGAGTAATGATAATGTTTTTGTACACATACTTACATTTAAATAATGTTTTAAAATTTTAAAACACGATTAAGTATAAAGTAGTAGCGAAGTTACTATTAAATTTCAAGTGCCCCTAAACTTAGAGCGAAGTTTATATCTTCAATTCCTTTGAATTAATAAGATTAAAATAAATAACACTTATGTAGAATCAAAACACATTAATTTATGATATGTATTATGGTACATGCGTTTGCCCAGAACTCCAAATCTATCCTATTTCATTAGGAAATAGTTTTAATGAAACTTGGACTGTTTTTAAGTTTGAATATCCGGATCTCGATATGTCGTAGTTTCCGAGAAAAGTGAACAACAAAAAGTGGACAAACACACAAACGAAACACGGGCTTGAAAGCCTAATTTATAATATCGGTTAAAAAAGCTTACAAAAGCACGCAAGCAGGTAGGAAATATTAAGTAGATATTTATTTTGTATTATAGTATCCAATATAGATCACATTCTGCAGTTCTCTTCCATCGATTTAATTCAATCTAATGGAAAGCCAAGCCCCCATTAGAATACTGCAGTATGTTCGATAAAGATGTGATAATATTTACATTACCTTACGTTTGATGTGAGTGTTTGTTCAGAGGTATAAATATTAAATCTAACTAATTATAGGAGACACAGAAATGAACAAAAAAGGGAATCTTATAATTAAAAACAAGTTATTAAATGTATAGAAACTATATGGATCATATATCAAAAATAAATGATATTATTATTATAATATTTATATAATATTATAATTGGTTATAACTTGCACAGCCACACAATATTATTATTTAAATATATATAACAATATTATTATTTAAACATAAACATTTGACAAAAATACAATAAAGAACATGAGTAACAAACGAAGAACAAAATTGTAACAGCACTCAATCAAATATAACAAAAAATCTAAACGAGAGATTTTCATAGTCGTGTAGTGAGAGCCCATAAGGGTAACAAATACATAAGACATAAATGACTTGTTGGCCTAATGGCTTCAGCATGCGAGTATCATCTCTGAAGTCATAGGTTCGATCCCCGGCAATGGACTTTCTTTCGATGTGCGCATTTAACTCTCGAACGGTGAAAGAAAACATCGTGAGGAAACCGGCTTGCCTTAGAGCCAAACAGTCGACGGCGTGTGTCAGGCACTGGCTGTCAGGCTGATCACCTACTTGCCTATTAGATTGACAAATGATCATAAAACAAACACATCTGAGGCCCAGAGCTAAAAAGGTTGTAGCGCCACTGATTTATATATTTTTTAATAATTAAACCGCAAAAATAATTTAAATTTAATGAAGTCATTCTTTAAATAGTCATCTGCGGTTTAACGAGAAGTAAAACACGATATATTACACTCGTAAAGTATTTGATTAACGTAAAAAACGCGAAACGAAATTAGCACTAATAAAAAAGCGATTTAAAATCACGATTTATGCACGCTATGACGGAAATAAACTCCAGACTATCGGAGAAATTTTATGTTCAATTGTTAACCGATACGTTTGGGTATGACTAAAACATTAAGAATTTAATTTACATTTATTATTACTTTAATAGTTCAAAGTACTTCAATCTATTATATATTCAAGATTTCCTTCATCCAAGGAAAAATACGTATTTTTGCGAGTTTTAGCTCGTTTAGAAAGTCTGAGTAGTTACTGCGTCTGAGCCAATACATTCTCTGAGGAACGGTTATTGTTTAGGTCGCAAAAACGTTGTTAAAGTTCACGAAATCCACGAATCTAGTAATGTATTAAAGACGCTACCATATTTTTGATAAATAATTTTCGTTCAGAGGTGACCAACAACTTATTAAAGAGAAGGCAAGGGGAACACGATAACTTCAACTACTAGTTGCCACCAACTATACTATATATGCCACTAGGGAATTAGTAGTATAATGCGATAATGTAGCATGATATATATATGTCAATATGAAACCAGGACCTAATCTACCATTTTTTTTTCTCACAGTGGTTGTCTGGAAGAGATCGCTCAAAAGCGGTAATGTCTGCTTTATCGCTTTCTTTGCCCGACGTTTTATTTGATTATTTTAATTATACTGTACTTTTGTATTACTGCAACGAAATTTTAATAAATAAATAAAATGTAATAACAGTATAAAGAAGAAATATTTCATTTTTGTGAATTTGAAACGAAAAATTCAAACCCTTTCCAAATCATTAGAATGCTATATTTATAATATAGCATATATTACCCAAAATATTTACAAAAATATCCGGCTATGCAAAGACAGGATATGTAAATGGAAACAAAATGACCAGACAATTTATGAACACTTACCTAATAACTAACTCCAGCACATCCTCCCGTTCGAAGACCTTGCAGTACAGATGCAAAACCTTCAGACAGGTGTACTGCAGCCCTGACCATGCGACATCAGCGGATTTCAACGCCTGCTCCCACGGGCAATTCTCATGCCTTGTCAGGCACAACATGCCGTGATCAGTCTCGGTTGGAGGCATTTAATCTTTGGTACTCTTTGGTATTTTAAATTTCATGAAGGTATTTCCGGATGTCGTTAAACCGGATGAAGCTTTCGCTTTGAGATCTTTTGTCAATTTTATTATTTAATGTCGTTTTAATTGTGATTGATATTTCCTTTTTGTTAAAGGTCAAATTAAAGTAAACGCAAAAAAAAATATTCTAAGTATTTATTTATTTGCTTTTCAGTATTCCTACAGCTACTTATTATACAGATATCTAAACAATTACATTATACACAAAAGCCTAAAACGGAATACACATTCAAACATAAAACACAGTTAACAATTACTGCCTACTTATATTAAATATATTATGTTTATCTATGTAATCTATTTTGGCTTTTACTATTTTTAAAGCTAAGTATTTTGTTTTATAATAATATATGTTAGATGCATTGAAATCAATTTTATGTTTCATATTTTCAATATATTTATTTTTTTTTTATTTACCCCCCCAAAAAAAAAAAAAAAAAAAAAAAAAAAAGGTGGGGGGGAAAAAAAGGGGCGGGGGGGGGGGGGGGGGGGGGCCCCCCCGGGTTTTTCGGGGGGGAGGTCCGTTGGGTAAATTTTCTTAAAAGTAAAAGGAAAAACAAAGCAATTGGAATTTAATAAGGATAAACCAGAGTTTTTCAAATATTTTTTACTGCATTGTTGTAGTTATATTTTTAGTTATATTAAATATTTGCTGGTAATTCGTGTTATAATCTGAATGTATACGATATATGACCGAGTTACGTGAATAGTTTGTATTAGACAGAGGAATTTGAAATAATTGGGGTTGCCTTGTATTGTATGAAAAGATAGGAGAGTGTACATTTTCTTAAGAAGCTTTAACAAGATTATCTCAGTTCTATCATTCATAGAAACAAGCAATAAACATAGAAATTCTGTTAGTAAATCAATTGTACGTTTTGGACTGCGGTATGGCCCGACGGATCCCGATCCCTATTGGCACTTACAAGGTAAGGGCCCAGTTTTTGGTGCTACTGATAAATTACATTTGACCTCTGTAGCAAAATTATAACATAATTATAACTGATTATTCTATATGCCGCGAGCATATGATACGATTAACACCCGGCCGAATCACTACATAATAAAATAATTTTATAAAATTTTCTAGCCAGTTATATATATTATAGCTATGTGGTTAAATGGATAGCCCATTATGTAGCTATTAAATAAACAGGCGCACAACTTGTTAGGTTCCTTATATGGCAACTAATATTTCCTGTCATTTACTCATCTGTGTGTTCGAATTAAGACCTTATTACTATTGAATTAAGAAGTATATTAGTACGTTATCAGAGGCAGATGTTCAAACTCAAGCAAAGAGGTTTAGAAGTCAAACTAAATCTCATGTCATTGTGATTAATTTATTCTAAGTTTGTTTAACGAGTTTTTTGTTATGTTCTTGAATAAGGTTGATTAGACTAAGCTTTTAATATATTAAAAACTATAGGTATTTTTTACACTTTGGATTATAAGATACTCTTGGACTGTGTAGGATTCAAGTGTACTGGTGCTAATTAAAGATTTAAGTTGGCGCCTGGTAGTTAGTACCGGTAGCTCCAGAGCTGGTGGTTTCCTCGCTTAACGAATAAGTATCGCAATACAGCGAGGAAACGTACACTGCCACAGGGACCAAACTTTTTAAATTTGTTTTCGTTTTATATTTATTAAATATTATTATTACAATGCAGGTCAAGAATATTGTAAATACTTGAGTGTATTTAAAAAACATTCTCAGAATATTAAAAACAAATAAAATAACTAAACTTCTATGAACCTTATAATTCAATGTTTTATAATGCTAAAGAATTTGTTTGGTTCGCGCTAATCTCAATAACGACTGGTTCTAATTTGAAAGTATGTTTTGTATTGGAAAGTACATTTATTCAAGGCGTAATATTGAGGGGTGAAATTATTAAAACACTCCTGCGCAACCAATACAATTTTCGTGTATATGTACACACAACATTGTAAGCCTCAGGATTTTCAGTCAAAATTCAATTGTTATTGGAAATAAGATTTCCCTAAAATTTTATAATTCAATATACTATACATCTAGAAATGTTCAATTAGAATCCATATCTAACTTGAAGCAATTTAAACTAGGACGCTATTATAAGCGTGCGACTCAACTTTGATTAATAGGAGGATGTTTATTACATTGTCCTATGAGGAATGCAAAGTTTGCTTACAGGAAGTTATTTAGATAAGACTATTAAGTAATTTTATATTTAACGCGTGTAATAATAATAAATGATTTTTTCGGATACAGTATCAGTATGATCATAAGTAATATCAAGTTTTATGCTAATGATTACAACACAAGCTCGTGAGGATGCGGGAGGCTTTTCGCCTCAGGTGCGAAAAGCCTCGTCCACTCTCCGGCGTTAGCTTGTTACGCGCCACGCGCCGCCAAAAATTTCTCATTTTATTTGTAAACATGTCTAATTGAGGTCGTCCTCTACTATGCTGCTATGACAGATAAACAAAACGTCAAATATTGTTTTGATAGTTAAATATCCAGGGTGCAAAATCATAAATATTGTAATTTTTCTCCCCATCTTTGAAAACTTAATGTCGTTTGTGTCATTAAAATTAATGGAGTGGAAACTGTAAAAGTTTACTGTAATATTACAGCATTATAAGGAATGTGAGAAGGAAAACAACACGGATAATTTATATCCTAACCACTGAAATCCTACGAACTTAAAACGTATTTAAATTTTAACAACAAATCTAACATAACTGAGTTTGGTGCAACATACAATAACAGTGCTGCTATTTAACATAGGTAACGTGAATATCCTTTGTTCATAATATCTAATATATAGGGACTATGTAGGGTTGCATGGAAGAAATAGCTTGTTAGCGATAAGGCCGCCCGTTGCTTATGTAACCTGCTTTTATTTTTGTTTTTTTTTATATGTATGATTTTTGATATTTTGGTAACGAAGTGTAAATAAATATATAGCCTGGAATGTTTTGGTACTTCCAAAACATACCAGGCTATATAAACATACAAAGCTTCGTGGGGTATATTGAACTAAATGGAGACGTGTCAAAAATCGTAAATTGTCGTCCGTTGTCACCTTTTGTTAATACGTAATTAGATATTTTTTAATAAATAAATTACTTGTTTGGAAGTGGGGTCTAATGGGCACCTGATGTTAAGTGCCCTTGGACAGTTCCAATGCCAGAAGGCTGATGGCGTTGCTGGTCTTTTAAGGATTAGTACGCTCTTTTGTTGAAGGGTCCAAAAACACATATCATGGACAGCTGTATCCACATAACGATTGTGCGTGGCAAAGCAGTGTATTTTTTTTTCAAATTACTTATACCTCTTCACAAGGAAGAGACTTTATTATACACATATATGTACTTCAATCTTCTGGGACTATATTTTATGGGATGCCGAACCACCTGGTGTCGCCACTGTCTACAAAACTGTTTCATTTTTATTTCCTATTTGAAGTTGCTGAACTATCTATTCGCAAAGATTCTCCAGGTATATTCTGTGTTCGGGGTATGTCATACTTGAGCAATAAAGCTTTTATCAAAGCCACGATTGTGTTCTGTTTACTTCGTAGGTACCTGGATGCCCCATACACCGGAAAGTCCAGCAGCTTCTTGTAACCGAGTTATACATTACTTCGTCTGCGTTATTGAAACGTATCTATAGTAACTTATGTATTAAATATATAAGACAGCGAAAAGAATTAGCTTACTGCTAAACGGCTCTCGACCCATTTGAAACCCTACTTCTTAGATATTGCAATAATCTAATTTGTACTAACTTGTAAATAGAACATGAACTGGCATAATGCTCATTAGACCATCTACGCAGGAGCAGAAATATTATTTGTATTTATAAGCTGCTTTATTATTCTTTAGAAATATTTTTAAGTCAAGTCGGGAATCGACAACTGCCGAGGTAAAGGGGAGAAATTGGTTATGCCAAAAATTAATCTGGAGTTGTATGGAAAAATGTTTTTATGGCAATCAAGGTTTAAAATGATTTAAGAAAACATTCAAAGATCTTCCTACTAGTGTCCTCTTCCACTTAATACTACTTTTGGGAAAAAATTAAAATGATTATTTGAGTGAAACATTATCATTAATATTAATTTGATAGTGTCATAAAATATTTTAATAATGTGATGCAGTGAAAATAATATAAAAATCGACTATGATATGATTCATAATATGATCATTTGTAACTTAGATTCTACCTTTAAGCCAAATTTGCTATTATGTGTGGCAGAATCTGCGAAGTCTAGATTGTACCACTATTATATTTTTGTACAAATAAATTATTATGATTAATATAAAATATACTTTTCAATACAAATATAAAATTAGGCTAATTTTATATTTGTATTCGGACTTACATAGTATCGATAAGCCATATATAATTATTACGATATAACCTTGGTGTTAATGAAAACTATTTTTCATCTTTCAGTTTGTGAGTAAACCGATCAGACAACTTTCAAACATAGCTTTACTATGTTTTTGTGCGTTTCGTAGTCACATACTAGTTTAGATAATCCTCGCGACTTCGTTCATATTTTACGGAAATCTGTGATTAAACTTACAAGATTATTGTAGTTAGTTGAGCTCCGTGGTAGGCCGTGTTAATTCGAATAATCACGGATTCTTAGGGACAAATACCAGCGTTAATGTATATACTATAATCAATTCGAACTCAGTTTTTGGGTGCCTGATCAATCAGACTCTTCAGCTTTGAATCAAAGTATTCTAGTTATAAATTTAAAAAAAAGAGATAGTGGCCATTGAACGCATTTATTTGAAGTTGTTTGATACTTATATATATATTGTACAAATGAATGTATAAATCTGTATACTATATCAGTATATAGAATTAAGCTCGGACAAATATTTTCAAAGTCAAAGTCAAAAATCATTTATTTATACACGTAACACAATGTGAATATGAACGTCAAAAA